CTCCACCAATAAGCTGGTGTGCGGTGGGCGTTCTGGCACAATATGGCTGCCGTGGCATCATCCAGGTGGATGCTGCACACTGGTGGTGGTTGAGGAGATCCCCTCTCTTAATGTAAAGCGCTATGAGTGCCTAGAAAAGCGCTATATAAATGTAACAAATTATTATTAGTAGTATTATAACATTATAAGTGGACCTCAGAGAACAGTACAAAACAAAAAAACAAAACAAAGGCAGTTCATGACCCCTTTAAATCTTAGCAAATTAAACATTCAAGTGATCTGAAACCATTCAAGCACAAGAAGACGCAAAAAAGAAGGAGAACTTGATTCAGCCGGCCTGTGATTCCCAACCTAGGGTTTCAGTTTGTACGGGGAGTGTGGGAACTTACATGCTTTGAGGTCAAATATGGATGCAAAAATGTTAGTTTATAAGAATGCTCTTAATGACTGGCCACTCATGTTTTCTTAAATGCAATTGTGGGGGCTTTAAGCACATCTGATGTGTTCTATTGTCTACCAGGCAAAAACTAATTCCTGGGTTTATTTACATTTACATTTACATTTAGACATTTAGCAGACGCGTTTATGCTAGTGATAGACAGATATATTGGCCAGCCACTTAATCGTTCAACTATACATTATTTGCATCACCAACTAATTTATAATCATTCTATGTATTGGCATCATATTACCTTCAATCCTGCTGTCTAGATATACCAATAGTTGTGCACTGATCAAGAAATTTGAGGCCGATACTAATCACTAATCATTGGCTGCAACTCCACTTGCCAATTTTTTTATTATTATCTCTGTTTTTGCAGAGTAGGCTTGTTGACATGCTGTTAAAGCTCCTGGAGTGGTTTGCAGAGAGTAAGGGAAGGGTTAGCCCTTGTTTACAGGTTAATATCAATGCAGAGGGTGAACATTGAAATATTTCTGTCATCCAGTTTGTATGATCCAATCGCTTATCCCAATTCAGTTAGTCTTCGCACAAAACAGCGGTGTGTCCATCAAGCAGCTTGTTTTTACCATACCTGCTGGCCACAGGCATCTTATTTTCAACTCGTCTTGACTCTTTAAAATTAGAGTCCAATGTTCACAACAAAACCACAAAAAAGGGAAGTCTGGAGACAAACATGTAATGTTTGAAAATGGACACAGTGAGGCTTTATTCTCTGAGAGCACAGGAATTGGCAACAGTTACAAAGGTACCACAGTACACTTGAACAGGACTCGGTGTGTGTGAACTGATTCAATTGAGGCTCAGCAAGAGATGCTTTGATTGTGCTGCAAATGAAGTTGCAAACTCTTGCGCCTGTTAGAAAACATTTCTGGTTTTTATTGGAAGACAAACTAATGCTACTTTTCAAAAATTATATCCCGCACTCTTAAAAATAAAGGTTCGGAAGCACTTTAGTAAAGGGACCAATTCTCACTATTAACTTGTTGCTTATTAACATGCCTATTATTAACATATTGGCTGTTTATTAGTACTTATAAAGCACATATACTGCATACTACATCACTAATACCTAAACTTAACAACTACCTTACGAACTATTAATAAGCAGCAAATTAGTAGTTTATTGAGGCAAAAATCCTAGTTAATGGTTTATTAATGAGATATTAAAGTGTGACCAATGGTTCTTTGTTAGCATCAATGGTTCCATAAAGAACCTTAAACATCCATGGAACCTTCCAATGCACAAAAGTTTCTTCAGATTATTGAAATGATTTGTTCACTGAAAGTTTCTTTGGGGAACCCAACATGGTTATTCTATGGCGTTGCTGCGAAACCCCGCTTTTGGATCCTTTATTTTTAAGAGTGTGGATTTAACAGCATTTGAAATCATAACTCACATGTTCTGAGTGGATAATACGGAAAGTGAAGTGTGTTTGTATATGCGTTTTGAGTTTGAAGATGTGTGTCTTTTACCTGTTGACCAGGAGGTAGTTGAGGATGAGACACAACACAGAGGGAATTGTGGACGCAATGGCGATGTAACTCTCAAAGTAGTCCTACATACCAGACCAAAAAATAACATAAGTCACTCATAATACATGTAGCACAAACAGTGATGTAAGTGACAATGCCAGTCATTATCGCTAAATAACACTTATTTTATAAATAAATGGGCATGACACATTGGATGGAGTTCTTTTTATTATGTAATAATAAAGAGTGCAGACTGATAAAAGATGAACAGCCACACAGAGCAATGTTTTCCTGAGCCAACTGTCAATTATACAGTTAGTTTGAGGTCAGTATACACACATATCTAATCGCAGAATACCACTGACCAGTCAGAATCAAGTATTCCAAAGAGCATTCAAATGCAGCATTCATTTGATATCAAACTGCAGGTCCCCATTGACCCACTGAAGAAGAAAAAAATACTTTGAAAGTCAAAGGGGATCAGAAACTCGTTGGTCACCAACATTCTTCAGAATGTCTTCTTTTGTGTTCAACTGGAGAAAGAAACTCTTACAGGTTCGGAACAACTTGAGGCTGAGTAAATGATGGCAGAATTTTCATTTTTGGGTGAACTGTCCCTTTAATTATCATGAATGTAATGACAAAAGGACATGCTTTCATAAAATTCTATACTTCTATAAAATTTGCCCTTAAAGCAAAGCAATGAACATTTCTTATTTGTGAATGATGGATCTCCTTCAAAAAATATGCCACATGCTCAAAAAACAAAGGTGATCGGAGCTCATATGCTCTTGACGATCCATAAAAGAGTCTCATAAAATGATACGCGTTCACTTTCAGCATTTCCTGCCCTGTCGGATAAAACCAGAGATTGGGCAGAAGTGAGAGTGACAAACAGAAAATGATTATTAAATCAATACATGAACTCACAACTTATAATGAGTTTAATCTTATTATTAAAAACAACCAGATTTCTGTTTATGACAACTAAAACCTCTTAGATTATGCCTGGCAACTAAGAGGGAAATACAAACATAAAAGCAGTATCCCAGGACGCACCTCAGCCTTCTGATTCAATCTATTTAGAAACAAGCATGAAAGTGCAGCCAGTGGGCATAATCAGATCAATTCCAAAGGGCAAGAAGGCAAGAAACGGCAGACTAACGCTATAAATCACACACTAATGTCACTATCAGAAGAGGACAGATTCTACCTAATAACTAACTCTAGAACACACTAAAGGAGCAAAAGAGAGCCTGTGTTTCTGCATATGAAAGGAACATCAGTTCTGTCAAATATCACAAGACCTTGAGAATGCTGGAGTGAGCAGAAAGTGCAGAAACATGTTGTGACTGCTTTAAATAACTTCAGCGTGGCAACAAGTAGGTGACACTCGTGTCTGAGACAAACACATTCTGTGTCATCTGACACACTTTAGCAACAGCTGGCACATGACTGCGCAATGTATATACTGTGTACGACTTGCTATTCTTCAAAGCTGCACTGCACCTTATTTGGGTCATTTTTACAGAATTTTTTTTTTTTTTAAATGCTACAATAAAATCCTGTCAATCGGCTTACTGCAAGTTTGACCACCTGTATTATTGTTGTGGTTATCAGTACATTTTACGGTAAAAAGCAGATTTTGGTACTTCAAGCAGATTGCTAAATTAATATTCTATACAATTATTAAGTTGTAAAATATACAGGCACCAATATGCCATGCCTTAACAACTAAAATAGCATTACTGTCAGTTTTTTTTTAAATTAATTTAACAAGTTTTTTTTTACAGTGCTAATAAATAAAATCATGTAAATAACAGTGGTCAAACGATATCGATTTTTTTTTAATTTAATTTTTAAGATTCTTTTTTTTTTTCATTATTTTGATTGATTTATTAGATTTATTTTATAAGATATTCAAACATATTCATATGTTTATTAAATAATTAAAGACTTGCTTAAATGATATAAATGTGCATTTGCTGAATCCCGACAGAAGATGAGAAAGTATTGTAGCATTTCCCTTTCATTGCTGGGTTTGTCCCTATTTTACCCAGCACTGGGTTATATTTAACCCAGCATTTTTTAGAGTGTAATAATAGAAAAGCGAACGCTTCAATACTTTTTTGTATACCATTTACGTTTCTTTAACAGTTCTGTCTAATAATTTCATCAACAGAACATTTAAACAGAGACTAAGGGAGATGAGATGTCTGAGGCGCTGATGTTTTTGATGCTGTCAAAATAAAAGCCTCCGCTTTGGCAATATATCTGTCAACCACTAGTAAATTACAAATAAAAGCGTTATAATTTGTTAAAACGCTTACACTGAGGTCATTGTGAGGTTCCTCTTGACCAGAGGGACTGGAGTTGTTACTGAGCTTGTAGAGCCAGTACTGTTTGGCTGTGATGAACACATTCCAGGGCAGCAGAGAGCCGATGCCCATCAGAAAGAAGATGATGTACACCAGATTGTAAGAGTCCTCCGGGCAGTGGCGAGCCGCCAGGGACCCTGCCGGCTGCTGTCGGGAAAGCAATGGTGAAGTGTCGTCCCCAGACGCCTCACCCTCTGAATGCTCTTCGTCACACATGGAGGAGATGGTGGTGGGAATGTAAGAGGAGTTCACGCTGGCCTGTAGAGACTGCTGACCATCCATTCTCAAAGAGACGGGACGGAGGGAGGGGAATGGATATGTGAGGGTGACCAGGAGAAACTAATGCTGGAGGAGAGAGACAAAGAATCACTGGAAATGATCAATAATAAAAAATTGAAGTTGCAAAATGCAATAACAAATGCATTCAGAGGTGGATACCTAATGATTGGGAGGTAATTACACCAAATCATTTGGATAACAAACTTTGCCTCAGGCATTTCAGAATGGCATGATGTTGGTCTGCCGTTTAGTCCAGTTATGCACACAATGGTTTAAAAAGTAACAGCACGCCTCACCTTCACAAGTCACATGATTTAACGTATCATACATGTCCGTGCTTCCTTTGGCAAGCACCACTAATAAAGAGGAAGGAATTTCAAAGATCTAGAAACCACTTCAATTGGGAAAGCAAAGGGGAAGTGTCGCCCCCCACCGCCTCACCCTCTGAAAGCTCTTCGTCACACATGGAGGAGATGGTGGTGGGAATGTAAGAGGAGTTCACGCTGGCCTGTAGAGACTGCTGACCATCCATTCTCAAAGAGACGGGACGGAGGGAGGGGAATGGATATGTGAGGGTGACCAGGAGAAACTAATGCTGGAGGAGAGAGACAAAGAATCACTGGAAATGATCAATAATAAAAAATTGAAGTTGCAAAATGCAATAACAAATGCATTCAGAGGTGGATACCTAATGATTGGGAGGTAATTACACCAAATCATTTGGATAACAAACTTTGCCTCAGGCATTTCAGAATGGCATGATGTTGGTCTGCCGTTTAGTCCAGTTATGCACACAATGGTTTAAAAAGTAACAGCACGCCTCACCTTCACAAGTCACATGATTTAACGTATCATACATGTCCGTGCTTCCTTTGGCAAGCACCACTAATAAAGAGGAAGGAATTTCAAAGATCTAGAAACCACTTCAGTAAAACACAGACAACTCGTGAAAAACAGTATTCAAACTCACTAGAATGTTGTGAGATTATCGCCCGTCTGCTCTTAAAATCTGTCTGCCATCCTGGAGACGCTGTCCTCTCAGATCACAGAGAAGAAAGACGTAAACACTCGGGACTCACAGCGCTGCAAGAGACAGAGGGAATGTGACAATCGGTTTCTAACCCAGTCTTGAGTCTGACTACAGCATCATTCAAGGAATGCTGGAATAACTGCTGATGCCTAACATGCATCGCTTACACTAATTACAACACGCTCCTGTACTCTACTCGGTCACATGACACCAGACTGACATCTGCCTAGGAGACTACAAACATACACACAAACTCCACTCTCTAAAATACAGCTGATGATATAAAATTTTTTGGTGGATTTTTAAATAAATATTGCGTAAAATAAGTGTTCATTTCAAGTCAGCATTATTCTTCATTTTATTTGCTAGCATTAAACTGCATTATATATATATATATATTGCCCATCGACCACTGTGCTCTGTAGACCTACAAAAAATAAACAAACAAACATTGTACATTCACTGATAGCTACTGTGGTAAATATGATCACTATAGCACAAAGGGTTTTATGCAGAGTTGCTAGAAAGACATAAATACAAAAAAGCACTGCACAGTGATTAATGATAGTAATGTCATGGCAATTTGATATATATATATATATAGCATTACTATGGGACTAAATGATTGCCATACACATGTAATTGCGTGGTACTCCAGAGAATACTTAACAATATAGACGCCAGAAAATAAAAGGTTATTGTTGCTCTTTAATCAATCTAAAGGAGTTCTCAGTTTCACTTAAGGACAACTTTGTCTCAGAGGTTTCTCCTAAATTACTTATGAGAAAACTAAACAGACAGAAACCAGTTAAACAGTTGACATACAGTAAGAAATTAGAAATACAATGAATGTGGAGAGGAGCTCAGGTAATTTGGTCTTGTGATATTTTGCAGCAAAATGTCAGAGTTTGTTCGCTCTCCAATTAGCCCCGTGATCTGAGCGAAACAAACGAGATATTAAATTTTTTTTTCTTCTTTTTTTCTATTGGTGTTCCCAGGCAGCAGCATTTTTGGTTATCGTGAAGCCCAAAAATAATTGTGTGCCAAAATAACATTTCAAACCTGTATAGCCATGCAAAATATTTAATTCAGACGAATGATATACAAAGTTCAGCTAATGCAATTGTACAGTAATACACTGTATATACAGGGAGACAAAACAGCTGTTTTTAGTCTGTAGTGACAGTATTGCACTCACAACAGATAAAAGTCTCATGTTTATCCGGATACTGTAATCAGGTGACTGTATATGGCATTCCTTCACTTATGAATCAATTCAAACCATCTGAACTGGATGAAACTGTGAACTGTAACGACGCTTATGAATTTAGAAACTCACCAATAGCTTGATTTTAGCTGAATTCATCCTTCTCGTACCTGCTGTCCACTGACGGACGATAACAACACACTATCACTAGACATGGTGACTTATGTATGCATCGGAGTAACTTACACAACACGAACTGTAAATGTTCTTCTTCTTCTTCTTCTTGTTAGTTTTATGGCGGATTGCAACCATGACATATCAGGTGCATACCGCCACCTACTGTATCGGAGTATGCAGCATGGATTATATCTCAGTGAATGCACTTTACATTATATATATATATAAAAAATAAAAAATAAACAATTAACTGTAAATGTATTAGGCAGAGATTGTTTTAACATAACAACACGACTTCAAATTAAAAGCCTCAAGGCAAGTTAAAAGTCATGTAAGCAAAACAGAGGGAAATACGAGTCGATTTCTATAAGCGCGAATTGTATTTGCAGGTAACGAGGAGATTGTAGTCAACAGAGGATTTTATAAAGACGGTTTTAAATATAAGGTGTCAAATCCTTTTAAGCAAAATTAAACGCAAAGTCAATTTTTCATACAAACTTTAACATGACAATAAACGTCCTCTACTTTAAAGTAAATTAATAAAATACTACACTAAATACTACGTTTTTTCCCCTCACAATTTTAAGCAAGGATGAGTGGCTAAAAAGGAGGATGAGTAATAAACAATTACGTTTAGAGTAATAAATACTGTTTAGGTGCACTGTGTTAATTATTAGTGTGATATTTACTTAGTGTATTAGTGTAAAAAAAAAAAAACACCGAATAACGCCCTGTAAGTTAAAATGTTTGATATTTAACACTTCACACTGTAAAGTTACTTGCATGGATATATATTGCATAAATCTTGATCCACACTCGAGTGGCTAAAAAGGAGGATGAGTAATAAACAATTACGTTTAGAGTAATAAATACTGTTTAGGTGCACTGTGTTAATTATTAGTGTGATATTTACTTAGTGTATTAGTGTAAAAAAAAAAAACACCGAATAACGCCCTGTAAGTTAAAATGTTTGATATTTAACACTTCACACTGTAAAGTTACTTGCATGGATATATATTGCATAAATCTTGATCCACACTCCAGTCCAGTCGGTGGCGGTAATTCACCTATAAGCTGGTTTGCCAACCGCCAATAAAACACCAAAGAAGAAGAAGAAGTTACTTACGTGGCTTTTATTTTGAAACACCGCCACCGTGTTTTTTTTACTGTGTTCAGTGAAGGAGGAGTGTCGCGTGTGGTTTCAGGTAAGGGCTTTTTAAATAACATCGACTTGTTTTATGCGTAACAATGATTTTAATAAGTGTTTAATGAGCTGTCTTCGATGGCATCTCATTGATTTTTTTCAGTCAGTGACACTAAATGTGCTTTTATTACACGCAGTCAGCAACGCACGTGGAAAAAGCTGGACATACATTGAGTCTGCTTGTTATAATCTCGTATGTTTTATGCTTATTATTAGTTTGATATGCTTCGAATGATATATAATGTTACAGCGTTAACATAATCTGGGTTAGGGTGTCTTTAATCATCTGTTATGTATGCCTCCATATAGTCAAATATCATAGAATTTAAAATTCCAGGCCTAAAAAAGTCAAGTTAATGAAATCGTAAAATATCATGGAGAAGTCATGGGATTTTTTAGTTTTTCAGCTAGTTTGAAGTTGGTCTTTGTGAGTACATGTTTTAAATTTTAAAAACCACAAACCTAATTAATTGGTAGGAACTCTGATTTATATAAAATAATTTTGAATAATGTGTTTAATGAGCTGTCTTCGATGGCATCTCATTGATTTTTTTCAGTCAGTGACACTAAATGTGCTTTTATTACACGCAGTCAGCAACGCACGTGGAAAAAGCTGGACATACATTGAGTCTGCTTGTTATAATCTCGTATGTTTTATGCTTATTATTAGTTTGATATGCTTCGAATGATATATAATGTTACAGCGTTAACATAATCTGGGTTAGTGTGTCTTTAATCATCTGTTATGTATGCCTCCATATAGTCAAATATCATAGAATTTAAAATTCCAGGCCTAAAAAAGTCAAGTTAATGAAATCGTAAAATATCATGGAGAAGTCATGGGATTTTTTAGTTTTTCAGCTATGCTCAGTTATGAAATATAGTTTGAAGTTGGTCTTTGTGAGTACATGTTTTAAATTTTAAAAACCACAAACTAAATTAATTGGTAGGAACTCTGATTTATATAAAATAATTTTGAATAATATATCATTATGTTTTCAGTGTGTTCATACAATGGCTGATGATGGTCCAGCAGAGGATTATCCCACTGAAATTGAGGAAAACCTGAATGATTTTGATTCCTCTTTGAGCTCTGTCCAGAATATGGTCCAAACGCTCGTGTCTGTATCCAGAAGTCACAATCTGCTGAAAGTATGTGAAAGCAAATGCACAAATGAGCAGTTATATGAACATTATCACATATGAATGGCTTATTTTTTAAAATCTTTTTGTACCTGATTTAAGCTGGATCCTCTTGATCGAGCTAAATTGGATCTGATGTCTGCATATGCCCTCAACTCAATGTTCTGGAGTAAGATTTACACCTTCATGGTTTGCTTTCACGTCATGTGTAATGAAAGTTAACAGGTTATGACAAGATTTAACTTTCCCTCTCAGTGTATCTGGTGACACAAGGAGTCAATCCGAAAGACCATGCGATTAAACAAGAACTGGTAAGATAAATTTGTCATTTTACTTATGTTTTAGGTTTAATTTAAGTAAATTTAATTTAAGTAAAAATTTATCCGCAGCATTTGTGGCAATGTGGATTACCACAGTAAATAATTGCCTGTACTTTATTTTTTATGTTTTTTTTCTATAATATTACATTTTTGCACAACACTGGTCACAAATGGTCATGAAAACTGTTCAAATATTGGATATAATTTTGCACAGACTAGGTGCAAAGTGATTTTAATCACACTAGTTTCATAGTAACTTTTTTTTTTTCTGTGATAATCCACTTTATGCCACAAATTCAGTCTATAGAGCTCAACTTAAATTTAAACTAGAACTTTTTTTTTTTTATTATACTGGGGCATGTATTCAATCTGTGAATAGAAATACAGTATGTGAAGGTAAATTGCATTGTTTATGAAGGATGGTTTACTGTTTTTATTGACTAATTGAGAAGGGGACTAACATCCCCCTTCACCTCACAGGATAGGATCAGGACATACATGAACAAAGTCAAAGAGATCACGGACAAAAGAAAAGCTGCTCGTCTGGACAAAGATGCAGCATCGCGGTTTGTTCGGAATGCATTGTGGGACGCAGAGGACAAGAAAAGAAAAGACTCAACTGAGCATCCCCACAGAGGAAAACACATACGGTTTTCTTGATTGAGTTGACTGGTGAAACATTGAAGTTTTCCTGCAAATATTTAGCAGACTTTGGGATTAAGCACAACAACTATCTGTCATTTGCCCGGTGACGTGTTATGATGCTGTGTTGAGTAGCATCATTCTTTTCAAGATCGTGACTTGTTTCAAACTGAAGAAGAAACCCAATATAAGTTACAGGTATTTGTATTTGTTTTTAATTTTTTATTGTTTTATTCAGTTGCATTTGAAGAGAATGTTTTGTTTTTTCTTTTGAGTCTTGAGTATGTTTTATATCAGGGGTTACATAATCTGAAATGTGGACCATTCATAATACCAGTCCCATTAAAACTAGTAAATCCTCTCTGTCTTGTCAATTCATTTGCAAGTATTGCGGTTTTATGATTCATCATTTTTAGAATGAGATGAAATGTGGCTTTCCTAATCCTGACCGAATCCAGTTACAGTTCTTAGAAAAAAATCACAGTGAAATGTATAGTTGGCCTGTTTGTTAACAAGTGAAGGACAACTTTCTTAAAGGGATACTCCACCCCAAAATGAAAATTTTGTCATTAATCACTTACCCCCATGTCGTTCCAAACCCGTAAAAGATTCGTTCGTCTTTGAAACACAATTTAAGATATTTTGACACAGAAGAGCGTACGCTGGTTATTCTCCAAAATGGCGCTACAGTGATGCGGAGAGACACAGAAGAGACGAATTGTTGAATAAAGTCGTTATTTTTTTCCTTCGCGTACAAAAAGTATTCTCGTCGCTTCATAACGTTACGGTTGAACCGCTGATGGCAGATGGACTATTCTGACGATGTCTTTCATACTTTTCTGGACCTTGACACTGTAATTTACTTGACAGTCAATGGAAAGCCCCAAGCCTCCCGGTTTTCATCCAAAATATCTTAAATTGTGTTTCCGACGAAGTGAATAATGACAAAATTTTCATTTTGGGGTGGAGTATCCCTTTAATATGTGTGACTATCTGTATTGATGTGAAAAGATTCAACAACTGAGACATAAACTGAACAATATTCACAGGCATTTGATGAATAGAAATGGAATAATGAGTCTCGACTCTTCCACCAAGATTTAGGGTGATATCTGATTAGACGTTGTTTGCCACTGCAAGGAAGATCAGCTGTCCTTTTTGTCTCCATATAGGCCTCTTACATTTCACTCATTTCTTGTGTTTTTCAGAGTAAGGAAAGTCTTTAATGTCCTATAAGTTATTGTAACCGTGATCTACCACCAGAGATGGAAAGTAACTAATTACAAGTCGCTTCATAACGTTACGGTTGAACCGCTGATGGCAGATGGACTATTCTGACGATGTCTTTCATACTTTTCTGGACCTTGACACTGTAATTTACTTGGCAGTCAATGGAAAGTCCCAAGCCTCCCGGTTTTCATCCAAAATATCTTAAATTGTGTTTCCGACGAAGTGAATAATGACAAAATTTTCATTTTGGGGTGGAGTATCCCTTTAATATGTGTGACTATCTGTATTGATGTGAAAAGATTCAACAACTGAGACATAAACTGAACAATATTCACAGGCATTTGATGAATAGAAATGGAATAATGAGTCTCGACTCTTCCACCAAGATTTAGGGTGATATCTGATTAGACGTTGTTTGCCACTGCAAGGAAGATCAGCTGTCCTTTTTGTCTCCATATAGGCCTCTTACATTTCACTCATTTCTTGTGTTTTTCAGAGTAAGGAAAGTCTTTAATGTCCTATAAGTTATTGTAACCGTGATCTACCACC